CAAGAGAAACCATCAATAAAACAAAAAGACAACCTAGTGAATGCACGAAGCTAGTCACCAATGATACATCCAATAAGGAGTTAATACCCAAGAATTCATATAACTCAACACCAGAAAAACAAACAATCCAATTAAAAGTGACCAGAAGACCTGAACAGACACTTCTCCAAAGAAGACACCTAGATGACCAATAGACATATGAAAAGTTTTCAACATCACTAATCTTCAGCAAAATGCAAATCAAAACCAGGAGATACCACTTCACACCCGCCAGAATGGCTATCATCAATAATAATCCACAAACAAGTGTTGGCGAGGATGTAGAGAAAAGTGAACTGTTGGTAGGAATGGAGATTGGTGCAACCACTACAGAAAACAAGTGCAGAGGTTCCTCAAAAAATTCAAAATGGAACTGCCTTACGACACAGTGATTCCACTTCTGGGAATATATCCAAAGAAACCCAAAAGACTAATTCATAAGAATATATGTACCCCCATGTTCACTGCAACATTATTTACAATAGCCAAGACATGGAGCAACCCAAGTGCCATCAATAGATGAGTGGATAAAAAAAGCTATACAAATAGAATACTACTCAGCCATAAAAAAGAATTAAAGCTTACCTTTTTTGACAGCATAGATGGACCTAGAGGGTACTATGCTAGTGAAATAAGTCAGACAGAAAGACATATGATTTCACTTATATGTGGAATCTAAAGAACAAAACAAACAAACAAAATAGGAACAGACTCATAGACAGAGAATAGATTGACGGTTGCCAGAGGAAAGGGAGTTTGGGTGGACTGGGTGAAAAAAGTGAAGGGATTAAGAAGTACAAATTGGTCCAGCCAGTGTTGCTTAGTGGTTGAGCGTCCACCCATGAACCTGGAGGTCACAATTTGATTCTTGGGCAGGGCACATGCCCGGATTTCAGACTCGATCCCCAGCAGGGGTCATGAAGAAGGCAGCTGATCAGTGATTCTCTCTCATCATTGATGTTTCTATCTCTCTTTCCCTCTCTCTTCCTCTCTCTAAAATCAATAAAATAAAATAAAAAAGAAGTACAAATTGGTAGCTACAGAACACTCACAGAGATATAAATTACAGCATAGAGGATACAGTTAATAATATTGTAATAACTATGTATTAGACCAGGTGGGTACTTGAAACATCAGGAGGACCACTCGGTAAAGTACATGATTGTCTAACCACTATGCTGTACACTTGAAATTAATACAGAATAACATTAAATGTAAACTGTAATTGAAAAATTAAAAAATAAACGACCTAAATTCTTTGAATTCTATATTCTGTGATTAATGCCTAATTCTCAGCCATATTCCAGAAAAATAAGACCACCACCTTATTGCAGTATTACTGCAAACAAGATTACTGGATGTGATTTTAAAAGACTCCTTTTCTTCAATAATGGGACTTTTAGGGTAACACAGATAACTGTTTTCAGCTCTCCACTTTATCTATGTCAGCATAGCCTATATTGTGCCTAGGTTTTATCTTTCTCTGGAAAAAAATTAATAATTAAACGTAATGCCCTTTACTTTCAAAAATAAAAAGTAGCTGAAGAAAAGTAAATCTTACAAACCCATGAAGTTATACATTTTAAATTTGTACCTGGAAAAATTAGTTGTTATATAACTAAATTCTAAGTGAACACAGTGTACTATCTGCTCCAAAAATAATCATGTAACTTCTCCAAAAATAAGAGCAATTTGCTACATATTAGAATACTAAAAAATGTGAAATACTATATGGAAGTCTCTAAACACTTGAATCTCTAAAATGCCTTCTCTTGAAAGTTATAGATCATTTCATGATTCACATATATATTAATAACATTCACCATATAGTTGATCTACAAAAAATGTTTTTATTTTATTTACTTATATTTATAATTCTTAATCTAAAGCAGTTTTTTACTGAATTTATTGGGATGACATAGGTTAACAAAATTATACAGGTTTCAGGTGCACAATTCTACAATACATCACCTGTACACTGTAGTGTGCATTAACCATCCCAAGACAAGTCTCTGTCCATCACCATTTATCCCTCTCTACCCTCCTTCACCTCTTCCCACCTCCTTTTTCCCCTCCCCCGCCTGCAATCACCACACTGTTGTCCATGTCCATGAGTTTTTTCTCTTTTTTGCTCAATTCCCCCACCCTACAAGAAATGTTTTTTTAAAGTTTTGAATTATTACTCTTACCTAGATTAATTTTACCTGTGTTAAAAAATTAACACACATCTCATAGTATCATCTTTCTTACTGCCTTAGTCATACTAGTGGAATTCTTAACCATAAATCAAATAGAGATTCTATTTTCAACATAGTAGTTCACTGGGTTCTCAGAAGTAACATTCAGTGTTAGAAGTAATTCTAAAGGTCTATGATCTATATTCTGCTGAGGCATGACTCAAGGTGGCAGGCAGGTGTGCAGAAGGGGTCCTTTCATGTGGTAGAGAGTCTACCTGATCATTCAGCATGGATATCTCAACATGGCCTAATTGTTTTCTGTTGACAGTTGTTTATGTATTTTGTGAGTGAATTTTACGTTAAGTGGTATATTACAAGAATTGAGATCTTCTGATGAAAAAAACTGTGAACATTAGAAACATCAAGCTCTACTGTATTACATGTGTTTTTTAGTCAGGAATTATTTATCAATTTATAAATAAAATGTAAAAATATAATCACCACACAATATAGAAACCATGGCAGTATCTCAAAATACTCTGAGATCCTTTGCCTTTATAAAAACTTACTTTTTAATAAAAGGTAACATATTAATGGCAGAAAATTTAAGAAACACAGAACAGCACACATAAGAAAAAAATAACCATTTTTAAATGGAAAATAATCAAGTTCTAACAGAAAAGCATTAGTGAGTATGCGGACCCCATTTTAAACTGCAAAGGGTTGACTGAATTCAGAATTTGTTCCTCCATGTAATTAAATTCAACCCTTTTTTAATAAGCCCAAAGGACTGCTAAACTGTGATTCAATAAACACTTAAGAGTAAAATTTGTTGATTTTAGCATCAAAAAGCACAGAATAGAATTAACCTTCAGATTAAATTTGAGATTTTCACAAGTTATATTACCAAAACAGATTACTGATTTGAAACTATACCATTAAGATTATAAAGATAATAAAAACTTAAGTGAAAACATCCAATGATCAAGTTTCCTTTAGAAAGACTAGATTACAGAATTAATGTGATAAATTGTTATTACTAAGATTTATTCTACATAATGTCTTGATATTACCAGCTATATTTTACAGATCTGTATTTTCAATTAAAAATATTTTATAATTCTGAAAGGATATAGCTCCCATCTTTCCTTTTATATTTTGAGATTTATGTTTCTGATGTAAATGTATTTACTGATTTATTTAAAGAAAACCAAAAAAGAGCATCTCTTTTACATACCTCTTTTTAACTTACTTACTGCTAAAAAGTTTTTCAAAGATTCCCAAGTTTAATGAAGTAGAAATTAAGCAAACAAATTAATGCCTAGATGCTTCTTTGTAAATTGATTAAAATACCATCTAGTAACCTTTAGAGATGGGCTACCTTTCATTTTAAGCTTTCATTTTAATTACTTATAGAAAGTGATTCTGTTCCTAGCATGTGGAAATTAATACAATCATTATTTTTTATATTAAACACAAAAGACGTTGACTTATTTATATTAAGGACAGACAAAATAAACTTTAATACCAAAAAAAAAAAAAGAGTAAGAAAGGGTCACTTTATAATGATTAAAGTTTCAATTTATCAGGGATTCTTAATAAATTTAAATTTCTGTGCCTTAAGAACATGGTCTCAAAAACAAAGGAAATATTTACAGATCTATAAGGAGATATAGAGAAATCCACTATCTCAGAAAGAGATTTTAATACACAACTGTGTTGGTAATTGATACAAGTAGATTTTTTAAAATTAGTAAGACTACATAAGGTTACAAGAACATGATTTATGAACAACCTAATTTTTAGAAAATTATAAATTACCAAACCTGAATAGTCTTATGACATTAAAGAACTTGAATGAGTAGCTTTTTAAATGATAGTAAAAAAATATACGTGTGAAGAAAAATTTAAAGCCCAAGAGGTTCTACTAGAAAATTCTGCTAAACTTTCACACAGGTAATTCTTACACAAACTCATCCAAAACATAGGCAAAGAGGAAACACTCCTTAACTCATTTTATGTATAACCCTGATATCAAAACCCAAAAATACCATATGAAAAAGAAATTATAAGCCAAACTCATTCATGAAAATGTATGTGAATATCCCAAGAAAAGGGGTTCTGGGAACCGCACAAGGGTGAGGAAATTATTTTTCTCCAAATCAGGATAATGGTTATCCTGGGGGAAGGGAAAAGATTGTGATCATGTGAGAGTATCTCAGAGTAAGGGAACAGGGGAGTGGGAGATTGGGAGTTTATAATTATTTCCATGATCAACCCATATATTGTATATACTTTTCTGTATATTCATTATACATCACAACAAAAAAACCAAAACAACATTTTAAAGTAATCTTCAGTATAGTAAATTTATGGAAGTTACACATTCTACTCACATCTGGGGTTAGTATTGGAGAGCTAATATCTAAGGACATTATTTAACCCTTTTCTTATAAATTCTCATACTGACTCATTTTGTTGTACATATGTTCTTTTTCTAATGAAAAAAACCTAATGGATCAGAGCTTACCACGACTATAAATAAGAGTTTCAAAGTATACACTCAGTATTGTTAATCCATTCCGGAAATGGGTATAAATCAGAGAACAGAGATTCTTTTCCAGGAATGTAGGCCAAAAGATTATGCATTCTAAAATCACTTTTATGTTTCTCATAATTCGGGATGGCTGCTATCTAAATCACACCAGACTGTATAATTTATAAAACTTCAAGCTTATTAAAAAGAGAGCTGTTGGGAGATAAATAATACATTAGTGCTATTACCTTTTAGCCGGTGACTTAGAATCTGTTCCAAAATAGCTGCAAAATTGTTAAATTCAGGAGAAGAATCATCAATTGTCTCAAAACAGGACCGATCAATCAGGGTCTTTACAGAAAACCTATGAAAAAAAGTAGATTATTATTGTTTTTAAGCAGAGTTGATTCATTCACCCAAGTATGAAAAATGGGAGGAAAGAATTTGGGGAAGTTTTACAGAAATACTTTATAAGACAATATATTTTCAAAACTCCCTCTATTCAAATTTACTATGTAAACAAAGGATTTTACAGAAATATCAGGCTTTTCATTTATATATTTACTATCTGTTGACTATACTAACACAGGAATAGCTCACTGTCCCCTCAGCCATTAAAATCAGAATAAAAAATGACCTAAATTATTAATTCCAAAATACTCAAAAGCCATACTACTACTTCTAAGAAATTTGAGCATCAGACCAAAAATGCTTTTAAGAGTTTTGAAGCACAACATTTAATAAAATTGGATGTGAGTGTTCATGATGTGTACATCTGAAGTTTTTATGAGCTATAAATAGGAAAACTTAAAACTCTGTAAAGTGTGCTATATTATCCCCTCTCATCATAATGTCCGTTGTCTTTATTTTTAGCTGCCAAAAATCAACACATTTTCCAAGATTCAACTCAGATGCCATCTCTTCAGTGAAGGATTATCTTCCTACATATTCCTAGCACAAACTAGTATTTTGTTTGTATCTCTCTTCAGAGACAGCTACAATTTATCTTACTGCTGTTATTTGTGCTGTTTATCTTTATCTTATTAAAATATAAATTCCTTCAGGGCAAAAACATATCTTCTGCACGTTTATATCTTTCTTAGCACAGAGGTCAATGCCTCAAACATTGTACTTAGTACTTGTTGATTTATTTGTAAGCCCTATTTTGAAAGAAAGTGAAAGAAACAGTTACATGCCGAGACCAAAAAAAAGTTCATGATTTTTTAACATGTATACATTTGTGTAATCAACATCAAAATCAGGATGCAGAACAGTTCTGTCATCCCATGCTATCCCCTTATAGTCATACCCTATAAAGAGTAATAGGTGAGTATCTAAGTAAAGACAACTGGGGGGGGGGGG